CAAAACATACTCTCTCTTCTCAGACTGAAGAACAATCTTTAGGTTCCTCAACCAATCATTGAAGTTGGGACCAGTTAATTTGTTATGTTCTAGAATACTAGCGATTGGATTTTTAGCCATTTTAGTAGACAATCTACAAAAACAACAAACGAAGCAGAAAATAATTAGACTATGGAATTTATATTCATTTAATATTAGGTCTTTAACATTAAATGTCTCCCACTAATTTAATTAGAACCTCATTATAATTATGAAAATCATTATTTTCATAGTGGGCTTGAAGTCCAATAAAAATATTTCATGTCCCAATTTTATGATGCCACCATGAAACAATTTTATCGGTAGTCAACTTTTTGACAATTGTATCTCTATACAACCTTCAAGATGTTTTGCCTCACCTTTCCTTATATACCTCAATTTTATGACTCCATATATATTACTCGGTGTCAAATCAAACCCATCAAAACTTTCATGATAACGGCCCACCAGAGTGTCCCACGACTCATGGCTAACACAAAGAGGAATCCGTCTCACGAATATCAATATACTTAGTAGAGTTCACAACTTTCGACATAGAATCATCCCACGACTCGTGGCCAATGATAAAACATCGTAGCATCTCATGTCGTCTACTTTTGATGGAAGGCCTGGATTAATAAGTTCCAACTTATTTTTATCCATTATTGATTTGATATAAATTTAATCAAATTAATCCGTTTAGGTTCCTTGATCTCATCGATTACCATCTTTACGTTTATTTACCGATTAAGTCATCTAATGAATCGAAATCGTAAATAAACTTAACATACATCTAATGCATGGTGGGATGATCATGTCCTTGCCTATACGATCCATTCGAGCCAAAATGGATCTATGCCTATGTACGTGATAAAACAAATAATAGAACTACTTCTATTACATTCATTTTATCTACCCGTACAAGCACAGGCCTTCGAGATTACAACTTGTAAAATTACCCACACAAGCGTGGGTCTTTTGTCATCGAACGGTCTCCACCTAGATCTAATCTCTAACGATACAAAATTTAAAATTTTACAAATTTTATCTCAAGAGACTCGCAGGTCTCGATAAATTACATTTCTTCAATCATATTGAAAAACATAATTAATCATCCATTCATTCATTCAATCATATTGAAAATGAAAACATTCATTCAAACATAATGAATATGATGCTCATGATCATCCCTAAATCATTCATCTAATGAAATAAACATAAAATATCAATTTTATGAGTCACACGACTCGTGTGAACAAGTCACACGACTCGTGTTAGGACACACGACCCGTGTGATCTCATCACACGACTCGTGTGAAAAATACGAGTGGAAAATCAAAATTCTTCCCAGACTCACACGACTCGTGTGGCTCGTCACACGACTCGTGTGAGCTTCACACGACTCGTGTGACAAGGTCACACGACTCGTGTGAAAATCACGAAGCTAAAATCAAAATTTTTCTTCATGCTACAGGGCCACACGACTCGTGTGGTACTAAAAACGATTTTTAATTTTATAATTAATATGTTTATCTCATAAACAATTAATTATCTTGCTTATCTCATAAGTCTTAACAAATCAAAATCTGTTTTAAAGACGATAACCGTGGCTCTGATACCACTGTTGGGTTCGCCAGTACTGTACGGGCTGTACGCAGCGGAATTTAAAATTTTTAAAGTAAGTATTTATCGTACAAATACAACACCCGTACATACTAATTGCGAATTAACTGATCGTCATCTTTAAAACATGCATCATATACAAATTTTGGTTTGTTACTATAAAGTAAATACTAGTAAAAATATTTACCGAATGTCTTGAACTCCTTCACTATTGATGATGGATGAGGGAATCGGTTCCCGGTTGTAACTTCAACGACTTAAGGTTACTCGTTAGAGGAATCCAAGTGTCTTCCCTCTAAACGTATCCACCCTATGAAGCCCGGTTCCGACGACTTTCCTTCGCTAGTAGAAAAGACTCGGTTTTCTTGTATAGGAATATTTATGAATTTTATTTGGGAATTTTCAAGAACTCTTTCTTGAAGTTTTATGAAGAACACTTTCTTCTCTTTCTAACACTTAGAAATTTAGGATCAAAAACTTCACTTAAATGCAAAACCATTTTGCATATATTTATACTAAACATTTTAGCATAAAATAATCAACATTTAGTAATATTAAATAAAATCAAATTTTATTTAAATAGTATTTACTAACTTTTGACTTTGAAAATAATAAGATATGTTAAGTAGTTCAAACAACCATCAACAACCATTTTATTATAATCATATTTATTATTTTAATCCTTAAATCATATTTAAAGATATAAATAATAATTGGATAATAAATCTTGAGAATCTTTCTCAAGACTTTATTATTATATCATTTTCCCAATATTATAATAATCATATTATTATTATTTTGGATTTTTGAAATTTAAAATCCTATTTTAAAATTCAACTTTATTAATTTAGTAATTACCTTAATTACTAAAGTAATATCCAAAATGTAATTAATCAATCTTATTGATTAATATATTCCTTTAATTGATATCTAATCAAATTAGATATTTATCAATTAATTCTAACCATTAGAAATACAATCTTTACCTTTGTTCATAATTAGTGTGACCTTTTAGGTTCACCTTAATACTAGTAGTGGGTTTACAACACTTTGTAATTTGAGTTAAATCTTATTAACTCTTATTCATGAATTAACCCTTTAATTTATGAACCCACATATCATGGTAACACCTAGCAAGTAGCATGAATCTAGTATTAAGTGAATAGCGAGTAAACCTATTCCGATTACAACTCCATACATGTAAAATCCTTTCGACATCTAATTTCCCGATTAAGTCTTGGGTATGATTTTGTCGAAACCCAAATTGACTTAATAACTATGATTCTATTTCATGTTTATTAACCCGGTTATGAATCACTATTCATCTCTGCCTTGGCCAAGGACTTTGGATTAATAACTATGAAACACATAGGAAATTCACTTATCTTCATAAGTGTCGAATCCTTTATTGGCCACTAACAAACTTCCATACATATTAACATAATACCCAACTTATCCCTTTAAACGATAGTGCTAGCTACCAAAAGGATAAATCAAAGTAGAATGTAATATGCACAAAGTTACCATTGTGCCTCAAGTCTTAGGATTAGTCATGTACTATTGTAACATGAAAATTCTTATTCGACTGAATAAATTCTTCATTAAGAATTTTCATACGGTCATGTTCAGTGAACTTGTTCTCTAACAAGCACCCACATAAATGTACTTACGTCTTACGCTAATGTTGATGGAATGCAACATTCTTGTCCAACAAGCATACAAACTATGTGCAAGTCTTTTATGGATTATTCGATATCCCATCTCGAAACATCCATCGACTTGGAACTGTATTTAAGATCACGGCTTTCAAGGTATGTTCCATGATCACCATCTCTATGCGCAACCATACCTTATAACCATAAGTGATCTAGGGATTTTATCTTAAGTGCAAATATAAGATAAATGCTTACTCTTAAGATAAAGTAATGCCTTATTTACAATATAATTCCAATAGATCGTATTTACAAGTAGAATACGTCCAATCCGATTGGAACGCTGGGTATACTACTCTAACAATAACGTGCTATCCAATGTTGAGCATCTATATCATATAGCCCATCCGGAGATGCAGGCGGCAATCCAATATGCCAAGAGCCTTCTCTACACATCTCTGACTGTCGGAGGCTGAGAGATCGGTCAAGGGACGTCGTCAAGCCAAGTTTTATCACAAGAGAGCTACGTCCAACCCCAGAGGACGCAGTCACACCGAGCGAGGCATCAACCTCCTCCCCATATTCGTGGAGGTAGAAGACGACGTCACCGCGAACCAGTTGCCGACGCCGGGCCTGAGGAACAACAAGAACAAGGTAAACATCTTTTAGTTAACAAAAATATAATTTTATTTTTGTTTTGTGATTTTTTGTTAAGTCAAATTTCTGATTTCTTAAAAAACTGAATTACTCAGCTGTAGAAGAAGAAGTAGAACCTACCACGCCCACAGCATCGTCTTCTGGACAACCACCACAGCGTCGGATTAGCAACCGACCGCGCAACCCTACGAATAGATACACTCCTAGTTAGTTGTGTTGTATTCGGAGACATTTTGTAGACCTATATATTTATTTTTTTCTTTCGTGGATTTATGTGTAATTATATTTGAACTTGTTTGGATTTTTATATTTGGAAAGTGAATTATTGTGCTTCATTATTGTTTCTTTGACATGGTTGATATGGGTTTTGTGAATTTATATTTGGTTGTGGAATCGATCTCGATTAACAGGTGTGTTTTTGTAATTTTGTTTTTGTGAATTGCTGTATTTGCACAGTAAAACGTATTTTCAAAATACGTTTTTGTACTGTGAAAAATTAGGGCAAAATTGATTTGGGGATAAAATTAGGGCGAAATGAATTTGGGGCAAAATTATGTCAAAAAACGTATTTTCGGAATACATTTTTCAACTGTGTAAAATTAGGTCAAAATCGATTTGGGGATAAAATTAGGGCGAAATCAATTTGGGGCAAATTTGGTTAAAAAACGTATTTTGAGAATACGTTTTATTTTTCCAAATATTATTTTCCAAAAAAATAAATTTTTTAAAATTCAAAATATTAATTTTAAATATTTTTCCCGAAAAACGTATTTCGGTAATACGTTTTTAACCTATTTTAAATAATTTAATTACGTTAATCACCTTAATTAATTGTTTTCAATGAACACGTATTATCAGAATACCTTTTTCTTTGAAAACGTATTTTGGGAATACGTTTTTAATGAAAAAACGTATTCTGAGAATACGTGTTTTTGATATTTTTCCACTTCTTTTATTTTTTTTTATTTATGTCCACTTAATTTTTTTTATTTTTATATAAATAAATAAATCAATGTCCACAATTGGTCATGTGTAAATTTGGATTGCACCAAAGAAGTGTAAAAATATATGAATGATGATGATGATTAATAAATAAAAAAAAAATAAGAAAAAAAGAAAAAAGAAAAAAGTGTAAAAATAGAGTGCAAAGGAACGACGCCCTATAGAAGAGATATTATCCTTACGAAAATCCATCTAACCGCACCACAAATTCATTCTGCAGTCTCTCGTCTCTCTTCCCCCAGTTCAATCCAATGGCATCTCTCTTGCTCGGAGCTCCTCCCATGGCAGCAACTTTCCAATCCCAAGCCGTCACCGTTTCCCCTTCTCTCTCCTCCAATTCACCATCCCTAATTCTGTCCCCTCTTCGACTTTCATATTCAATCTCCACTTCCTCCTCTGCCCTACCTCTCCCTCTCGGTCTGTATATACTAAAACTCTCTCTCTCTCTCTCACTCACACGCACACACATATACTCGCAGACACAACTATGCTTGCTTATATGGTTCTGGCTAATATTTGTCTTGATTTTCTTCTTCTCTTTTAAGTTTACTGCGGCAGGGGTGACAAGAAAACTGAGAAAGGAAAGCGTTTTAGACACTCCTTCGGCAATGTGGGGGTTTATTCTAATTACTTTTTTTTCCTTTTCATTTTAAAGCTAGTGATTTATTGAGTAATTTTGTGGATATGATATGCTGCAGTCGAGGCCCAAGAACAAGAAGAAGGGCAGAGGGCCGCCTAGGGTTTATGCGCCGCCGCTGCCGCCGAGAAAAGATGAGTACGAGAATGATGAGGTGGTCACATTTACTGAGGAAGAGCTTCCTTTCGAATAAAATGGGGATTCATTATTTGCTATTGTGCTTAATCTCCTTTCTGCTTTTATTTTTTCATTTGTTCCCCTTTTTATTCGATGTTCTGTTATTTGGAAAACTGAGTGTAATACAAATTAAACACACTTCACTTTCTATATCTTGTTCGTGACTATGTGTGATGAATTTGTGGGATATTTGTCTTTGGGGAACAAAATAACAGTCCATTGACATTCTTTCTACAACCAAAGCGAACTCTCATTGTCGTAAGGAAGGATTATTGATTTCTGGACTTGTTCGAAATGAATGTTGGATGTTACTGTGAAATTCTTCTATGAATAGATGAAAATGGGGATGAATTATTTATCATTCTGAATTATTTTCAATACATGAAAATTAATCTATATAAAAACACATGAAATTTATCCTCCTAAAATGATTCTTCAAATTGAAGACATAGCGCATCCACATTNTTTTCCATTCATTCAATCAAAAAGTTACACTCTCTCATCTAGGTGCGGATCTAGAAAAATTATTTTGGAAGGATGAAATAATTTTCAACAATGACATACTTCATTAAAAAGATAAAGTTGTATTTTTATTTTTTAGAATAGAAAAGAAAAAAAGTAGTTCAAGAAAATACATATAATTCAAACCTTGTGACTACCAGAATTGTGTTCGACGTTTTCTCAAGTCACGAAACACATCGATGATTGACTCGGTAGTAATAGATCTTGAGCAAATGATACATCTCTTCAACAATTTTTTTTATCAAATTGTCCAAGCTAGAGAGAATGAATTAAGACATTTAAAAATGATGAATAAATTATAAATACACATATTGAGTGCCAATTTTAAACCCTAAATCCCTAAAAAAGATAGATAAATTAAATTATGAACATGAGCATGAATTAAAGTACTCACAAATATAAAAGGATGATCAAAGTACTCAGAAGAATAAATGAATTGTTACCAGACTTGCTGTTGCAATTTTTTTTTTTTCAGTTTGTTGTGCCCTTTTTACCTTGCCTGTAAGTAAAGGCGAAAGGCATATGTTGNTTTTGTTCTTCGAAACGATAAATTCATTAAATGCAAACACGTAAATACAACTGACTAAGTAGTCTGAAAATGAAGTTCTACTCAAGTGTAACGCCCCGTTTTATTTTACAGAATTTACCGGATTTATTTATAAAAATCAGAGTTTATTTTTTGCAAAAATTCAATTTAAAACTTTAACATTGAACGAGCGCTACTTAAATAACTAAAATAAATAAACATTTACGCAAATAAAATGTAACAGTTCAAAATAAAATCCAAATTATAATAATCCTCAAACCCAATCGAGCATAGTTAAATACTTCAACGTAAAATCCATGGTCTAACCAACATGTTCAACGTAATTTAAAGTGGAAGCATAAATGTTCAAAGCTGAACAATTGGTCTATCCAGATAATAAAAGAAAGGCGGAAGCAAGTAACACATAATCCAACGACCACCACTCGATCGTCTCTAGCGGCCGCCGCCAACCATGCTCAACCTAAAGGGATAGGAAGAGAAACAAGAGGACAGAAAAGTAAATGGGGTGAGTACAACCATCATACTCACCATTATCGCACAGTATATTTCACATAAAGATCCATAACTATAAATAATGTATGCATAGAATCCAGATCTAATTCCCTATTAGGCCCTATCGCAAACCTCCTATGTACATACAACAAACCTCCCGACCAGACATCGGTGAGGATGTAACTGGAAGCACTCCCACCCCAGATGCAACGGGCATAGGATCTTATCCAGGAGACAGTGAAGTTGAATTACCCCTCCACTCTACACGGATTCGGGAGTTCAGAAATTCCCTTCCGCTCTACACGGATTCGGGCGTCCACCTCCCGGATGCAACGGGCAGGTGACTTCCACTGATTATGCATTCGTCAAAGGCAATACCGTCGGGACACTTAGACTAGGGTTCTCAAGCATACAAAAACTATCTCGACAAACATTTATACGAAATAACAAGTGCGATAAATGTAGATTCAACATAAATGAACCCACCTGGTAGCGATCGGAATAAACACAAAATAAGGGTAGGCGTTGAGGTCGACTCGTCAAACACCTACAATTATTAAAATAGTCTTATCAAAGACTATTCTATAATTGCTAAGCCCAACTAAGTTCATATAAACATTTAAGCACGCATTAAACCAAGGGAAACACATTTTCGAAAATATCACATAAGTTTAGAAAACTTGACCCGGGCAGCGTTTTTAAAATCGACATAACTTTCAGCATATAACTCATATAAACATGAATCAAGTTGCATTGGCTTCCTAAGACATGAAACTTGAACTCTTATGAAGACATTGAAAGCAAATAAGGTCTTTTAACAGATGATAAATCAACAAACATTAAACATTGTGTTACAGTCCAAATCTGGGAAAATGGACTAGACCAAACTTCAGTATTTACTATCTAACTGAAGCTACAGGCATGCTTTTGATGAAATTCAAAGCCCGCATAATAGGCAACTCAAATGTCTACAACTTTGCTGAAGATCATATTGGCAAATAATCACATATTCAACTAGTTTAAACACAAAACATGTGATTCAGTAAAACTGTAAAAAATAAACATGTGATATGGACAGCACCTCAGTTTTTATCATTTATCTAGAGCTACAGACCTTCAAATGATATGGTTCAAATTCCAAATTAAACCCTAAGAAAACCTCTAAAACTTTAATTTAGATCACAGAAGCATATAAGATCATTTAGATAGTGATAAATTGGTTAACATTCAGTTTCAGATTTCCGCCAACATGATGATTCCTAATTCATGCATATCTAACTTCACAAAAACATAATTCGAGCTACAGAGCACATATAAACATGCCATTTATCTCATTTGAAATTTAAGAGACAGATCTATAACTTTCATGAAAAGTGTAAGTTCATACGAGCACGTTTTGACATGAAAAACAGATCAACCATTTAATACATTTAAGCTGCCGGTTACAGGAAAAACTGGACGCGCAACATTTTTGAAAAAATCACAACATATTCGATATAACTCGAAATCGAGAAATTCCAAAGCCCAGACTTAGAAAACAGAACTTACTACATTTCATATGAAGACCATATTTTCAAATAACCAGTCTCCAATAGCTTAAAACGCAGCACAACAGATCAGCAAAAAACATATTTTCACATAAAATACCAACGAATACAAAACGGATGGTTCGAAACTCGACAACGATCAATATACTTTCTCGGCAGAAAATAAATGAGCATATTGGGGTTCGACACAGCAACAACATGATATTCGGTTTAACGAGGTCACGAGCATAACCCGATAAACAAAACGACATATACGAGTCGATAACAATTTTAACCAAAATCCGACTTCAAACAAATAATCGGTAATACGTATAATATATTTAGCTATCATGTGATATACGAACATGACCGGAATAATGAGAGGGTTTGAATAAGTTACCCTCTTTTGAAAATTCACGAGCTAACGGGGGGAAAAACGGGCCGAACGACGGTCGGCCGAACGGGTCGGAAGTTGGCTCGCAAACGGGACTTGGGCGTTTCATCGAGGGCTTCTCGAAGGTGGCCCAACCGCTGACGAACTTCACTAAGAAGAACGTCAAATTTTTGTGGAGTCCCCGGTGCGAGTCGAGCTTTCATGAGTTGAAGAGGAGGCTCACGTCTGCACCTGTGTTGACCATACCGGATCCGACTTTGGGGTTCACTGTTTATAGCGATGCCTCGAAGATGGTTTTGGGTTGTGTGTTGATGCAGCAAGGGAAGGTTGTGGCGTACACATTGAGGCAATTGAAGCCTCACGAGGCGAATTATCCGACCCATGACCTGGAGCTTGCAGTAGTGGTTCATGCGCTTAAGATCTGGCGACACTACCTCTATGGAGGCAAGTGCGAGATTTTCACGGACCACAAGAGTTTGGAGTACATCTTCACGCAGAAGGAGCTCAACATGAGGCAGCGGCGATGGTTAGAGCTCGTGAAGGACTATGATTGCACAATTAGCTACCATCCGGGGAAAGCTCATATGGTCGCCGACGCGTTGAGTCGGGGGAACCATGGTGCGTTGAACTTCATGATTACCCGAGAGGAGGTATTGATCCATGATTTCGAATGGTTGAAATTAGAGATCGTGGAGTCTTCTCCGAGGACTAGTGGCTTTTTGGCAGCATTAGTTGTGGGGCCGACTCTCCGAGAGAGAATTATTGCTGAGCAGCCGAACGACCATTTCCTTTGTCGAATGAAGGAGTTGGCACTAGCAGGACGAATTGGTGGTTTCGCGGTTACGACCGACGGTGCTTTAGTCTTCGAGGGGAGACTTTGTGTTCCGAAGGTTTGGGAACTGCGACGAGAGATACTGAAAGAGGCTCACAGTGCTCCGTACACCGTCCATTCGGGTAGCTCAAAGATGTACCAGGATCTGCGGAAGACTTTCTGGTGGCGAGATATGAAGTGCCAAGTAGCAAGGTTCGTGAACGGTTGTCTGGTGTGTCAGCAAGGGAAGGCTGAACACCAGAAACCGACGGGGCTTTTGCAACCACTTGATATTCCCGTGTGGAAGTGGGAGTGTATCACTATGGACTTCATAGTTGATTCACCGAGATCGAGGAAGGGGCACAACTCCATCTAGGTGATCGTGGATCGACTCAAGAAGTCTGCCCACTTCTTGCCTGTCAGGACGACGATGAAGGCCAGTGACTACGCCGAGTTGTTCGCGGATGAGATCGTCAAACTACATGGAGTGTCTGTTGAGATTGTGTCCGATCGAGACTCGAGGTTCACGAGCCAGTTCTGGAAGACTCTGCACCGAGCCATGGGAACGAGGTTGCCTTTTAGCACAGCCTTTCACCCCCAGACAGATGGTCAGTCGGAGTGGACGATCCAGTATCTGGAGGATATTCTGAGGGCTGTGGTCTTGGACCGTAGCCTAACCTGGGAGAGTGCGCTACCATTGGTCGAGCTGGCCTATAACAATAGTTACCACTCTTCGATCAAGATGGCGCCGTACGAGGCTTTGTACGCGCGTAAGGTTCGCACCCCTATCTATTGGGATGAAGTTGGTGAGAGGAAGATTATGGGTCCGGAATTCATTCACCGAACTTCGGAGCAGGTAGTTGAGATCCGGAAGCATATTCGGGCTGCCCAGGAGAGGCAGAAGATTTACGCTGATCGAGATAGGCGTGAGCATGTGTATGCCGTGAGTGATCACGTCTTTCTGAAGGTCTCGTCCATGAAGGGTGTTATTCGCTTCGGAAAGAAGGGGAAGCTTCGGCCTCGCTATATCGGGCCCTTTGAGATCCTTGCTCGAGTTGGGGACTTAGCGTATCGGCTAGCTTTAGCACGGAGCCTGGCGGGAGTGCATGATGTG